TGTACAGATGTTGTACAGTTATACAGATGCTGTACAGATACTGTACAGATATTGCACAGATGTTGTACAGTTGTACAGATGTTGTACAGTTGTACAGATGTTGTACAGTTGTACATAAGTTGTACAGATGTTGTGCAGTTGTACAGTAGTACAGATGTTGTACAGATGGTGTACAGATGTTGTACAGTTGTACAGTTGTACAGCTGTTGTACAGATGTTGTACAGATGTACAGATGTTGTACAGTTGTACACAGACATCTGTAATGTAGTGGTTAGGCGACCCGCTGTCGCACACAGGAGACCCAAGTTCGATTCCCGAGAAGGAAGAATTTTTCTTTTCGAGTATCCTGGTCTGGATAAGGGCGAATTTTCTGTTATCCAAGTGTGGCTATTTTTATATATCCCACCAATTTTGAAAAAATGCAGTTTCGAGTGCTTCAGTTGATGCGAAAATGCGAAAATTTTCAGTCATGCAATAGCTATTACGTTGTCCTCAGTATCTCTTTAGAGGTTTCAATGATCAAAAAAAGCCCCACTAGGATTAAAGATTTCACTGTTAGTGTGCTTGTGGGAAAATGTGAGCACTTTAGTTAATAAACTGATTGGGCGAGAGCGCAGGCCGGATTGAATTAAAATTGCTTCTGTATTTCAAATTCCTTTTTACTCGTTAATCCGATCCGTACGCTTCCCATAGCAGTCAGTCAACATGATTTTTTTAGAAATACTGAAAGTTTCAAAGAGATCTTCGTACTAGAAGTATTCTAAAATGTGAAGAATACAACCCCAGGGACACAAAATGACCCCAGGGTGTATGGATAGGGTTAAAGAAAGACTATATATTTTACTAGCTGACTTTCATTTTGAACTCCTAGAGTGTTTTATGGTCCCACTGAATGGTCCAGGAATGTGTTTAAATAACAAAGTTAGAACTATCACCAGCTACGTACCCTTAAATTGTCTCGACGGGGGCATAACAACACCTACATCTTTTTTACAATTAAACAATCAAACAAAAGAAAAGTTGTCCATCAATTTATTTCGTTCCTGTAAACAGTTTGTTTTAGTAGAGGTATTTTCGCCGCTCGCAACTGCATAAGGTCATAATTATGAGCGCCAGATGATTAGAGGCGTTGCAAGTGCCGTAAAACTCCTACTAAAACTAAACTAAACTATCAGAGCCGTTGACTTTTAATGAAATCGATACAATTTGATTACCGATGACCAATACCACCTAGCGCTTTAATTCCCCCTTAGCCCGTTCAATGCAAGACGGGAAAAATGTCGAGGGTTTTTTGCAAACCAGTTTCACTTTCATATTCATATAGGACGAACACACTTCAATCTCATTTAGTCGATTCTCCTGAAAAATAGTTTATGGACACTTA